ATATTTATAGTTATATTCCATAACACTCCTCGTTGCTTCACCTCATGCTACAGTGGCGATTTCGATGTTCGTCTCGTGTCTCCTAAAAAAATAACTAGCTTATTGGTTCTCCCAATGACTAGCAATGCTTTCAACTTTCTTAGGGTACTTGTTGTCCGTTGAGTTTATGGCCTATCACGAGTAATTTTAGCCTTCAAAAATTTGAAACAGATCTATGTCCACGTGTTTTTGAAAGCTGGAAATGCGTAAGAGGGAAAATATTGGTGAGGCAAAAATCCTTCCGCTGAAAAAAAAAAGCACCAGTACGTTTTCAATATCTTTATTTACCACTGAAACCCATAACAACTTGGCTTAGAAGAAAGTGCAGCGGCATACCTGTCTAATAAATTGGAAAAGATGGTCGAATTTTCGAAAAAGTTCCTCGAGCTGTTCGACCTGGTTGCTGATTGAGGCAGTGCTTTCGTCAAACGCTTTAATATCAGTCTCCAAAATACTGCAAAACGTTTGCAGTTCTTCCGTAGCTACGGCGCACTCCTTAAGGGCGCTCACCGTTGTTTTATCACTGCCCAGCTGTAATGAATGGAACTGTTTTAACGGGCTTAACCAATAATTTAAAAATTTTAACGAAAGTGTGGCATCTGCAATCTACTAAGAGTCCAAAATTTTGCTCTTGCACTGTTTTTAGGATTCAGAAACTGCTCAAAAACTCCTTTTAATTCCCTTGTCCTCGCTTCAGAAACTGCACCTTTTGTTGCAAAATTACCGCGAAAAACTGGCCAAAGTTAGTGGTTTGCTGCATCTGATAGCAGCATCATTAATGCAAAGCAAAAATATGTGCATCTATCACTCACACACACACACACGTGCACACACAAACACGCACACACACACACACACACACTCACACACACACACACACACACACACACACACACAAATCAAATATTTGGTCCAATTAGTGTACGGAGCAAAAGTGACCGCTCTAACACAGTGGTCTAGCATATCGCGTCCAGATGTGAAGAGGAGTGGTTCGATTCCCTTTTGCGCAAAAATCATTCGCATAAATGAGCTGAAGAGGAAAATCTCTTCAAACTGTCCGCTGTTTCGCGTTTCTTCTGTATTTGTCTGTCCCTTCTTTCCACTGTGCTGCTTCCGACGATGTTGTAATTTGACTGGCAACAATAAATGATGAAGAATTGCATCATTCTTGTTATCGACGACGGTGAGCAGTATGACTGCGTCACGAAGGGCACAGCGTTGCTCGGTTTTGGAGATTTCGAAAAAGCTGCGTGTCCTGCGGAACTACCCGGGTTATTGTTGGTTTTGGACGAAGACCAGGGCAGCAACATACTCTCGACCCGTCATTTTCTCGATAGTTTTCCAAGTTATCCCGAAACTGCAAAATTTCCGACGTTGATATTCTCGACGTTGCAAATCCTCGATGTTGCTCCGACGCTGGTATTCTCGACGTTATCTCGACTCAACTTTCCAACGCTATCGCCCGACTTTACTTCTCGACGACACCTTTCAACGTGAAATTTTTCGCCTCTACCCCGTCGGTACTTCACGATATTATACCTCCTCCATGTTCCTTTCGACGTTGACGCTATTTTCGATCGAGATTTTCCACGGCTACACATTTTTCTCGCCCAATCGATTTGACGACAAAGATAATCATTTTTGGCAAGCTTTTGCTCTGCTCAAAAGTCCACCACAAGAGCCTTTGACTCACATACACATGCAATTTTTGGTCATCCCCCCATCAACAATTTGACTTAATTACATTTAGCATG